GTGCTTGGAGCTTTGCTCCCTCGGCACTGGCCCACCGACTCGACAAGCTGGAGTCTTGTATACAGTTACCAGTGCCTGCTCACTTCTGTTCGTGCCTTCCTTACATTCCTAACCATACCATTTGATGAGCTATCTTGTTCCCCATCGCCAGTGTTTGCTGGGTTTTGCTTGAATCACAGCTTCGGTGGGGGGGGGGGGCGATGACGCCTGCGGAGCCCACCGGAGAAGTTGATAGAGGGACGTGGGAGGCAGGGTGCACCATACGGTAAATGAGTTGGTGGTCGACACTCACTCACTCCCTCAATCCACTCTTGCCTTCAGGCTTTACTGGGTTTTCCAGGTTTAAGATGATTTGCAAGTCGTGTAAATGGTTGGGGAAAGCCGCATACTCACCACTGGCCGATTCCAATTACCCTGTCGTCCTTCTCGAGAGTCTCTGGTTCAGTGCCGTCGTCGTGCGCCTGGAATGCGTGCCTGAGGTTTTGTGCTTCCACTCGAACTGACAGCGAGTATTTCTATCTGTCCACATATATACATATATACACATATACATATGTATATTATGCGTATATATATATATATACATGCTCAGCTCAAGATGGTTGTGGTCTGCCTTAGCATCTACATGTCAGACCCCTCAGCCCTGGACCCTAAACCGTTCTGCAAGAACAGTTTAGGGTTTAGGGGTTCAGGGTTTACATAGGGGTTCAGGGTTTAGGGTTTAGGAAACCGTTATTCAAGAACAGCCCAGGGGCAGTCTCACAACCGCCATGTCTTGTCCCAGCTCTGCAGTGGCTATTGACCGTTTGCTTGGTGCAATCGCGCTCTTCTGCTTGCTCATCAGATACAGCAAGAAGCCTGGAATAATGATGACGTAGCCGAAGATCGATATCCATCCAACACTCGCTGCCTCAAGAGGACGCACTTTGTCGGCTTTGCAAGCAGCAGTCGATTGTCTTTAAGAGCCTTTCAGCCGAACTCAACTCACAGCAAGTGACCGTCTGCGAATGACCAGCTGTGACAGATTCAACCGATGACACAGCTTCGTACTTCTGAGTAGAAGTGGTGCCTGCATGCCGAACCCTGCACCCCCCCTCCCTGCAACTTGTAAACCTGGACCTCTACCCTAAACCCTACCCTAAACCCTCACTTGAACGAGGCCGGCACTACTGTGGCTTGCCACCCACCATCTCGGCACGTGAGATGCGGCAGTAGCGTGAGAAAGGCATCCTCCCCAAGAGCTTGGTCGCCTGGTTCTGGGGTGTCGGGCTTACGGTTTAGGGTTTCGACACACACTCGCGCAGGGCAGGCATGGCAATGAGTCTCCGAGCTTGCTACTTGAACATGCTGGGCGTCGCAAGCAGAGAGCACTGCAACACAATAGACACAACGGGTTTAGGGTTTACGGTTTAGGGAGGGCTTAGGGGCTGACCCGCGGCTGCATTTCTAGTTTTTGTACTCGATGGCTCTTTTGTGGGTGTCGGGGTTGCCACTGCAACAAACAATACACCCTGAACTGCGGAAGGAGCGTTTTAAATCAATGATTCGAAACTTTCGGGTTTAGCCCTTGAATGATCAGAGCCTGCATCGTAGTGCTGGCAGCTCAGCAGACGAGCACCTGCACAAGCTGGCGTTGGTCAAGAACCCTGTCGACCTAACCATAAACCTTAAACCCTAAACCCTAAACCCTAAACCCTAGACCCCTAAACCCTAAACCCCTAAACCCTAAACCGTTAAGGCCGAAAGGAGGCGAGGTTGTAGGCGATATTGGCAAGGCACAGCTGGATGCACCGCCGATGAAGAGGAAAGGGAGCAATCGCAATGCCATTCGCACACCTTCGCCGAGCCGGTTTAAGGATTCGAGATTTAGGATGTATGGTGGGGTGGCCAACATGCATCCGGGACCTTTCCTGCATAATTACACTAGGCGGGTACAAAAAAGCATCAGATGCGCAAAGCAACCAGTTAGATGTGATCGATCGCACAAGTTGGTTTCGCGGGTTGCCGGCTTTTTTCTTGGGTTGAGAGCCGGCTGCAAGACGTGCTCAGGAGACAAGCACACACGCACAAGCCTACAACGCAGAATCCACCAAAATGCCCTCAGAGTGGTAGAACATAAGGCACATTATGTATCGGTCTCCTTCCTAGGATCCGGAATCCTAGAAGATGTGATGAGCCGATGTGGACAATCGCCGATTACTGGCAAATTACTCCAATCATGCATGTGGCTTCAAGCGGCCATGCCTTTTTAACAGCTTCATCTCCGGAAAACATATGGGGAAAGAGTTTGAACAATCCTTTCTGGGGGGTCTAGATGCCTCTGCAAAAAATAATGCGCAAACCTGCATGTGACATGTCCAAGAGTAGTATTTGAGGAAATTCCTCCACAGACCACGAACCTGGTGGAATGTGGTTCCAGGAAACAACATCTGTTTACAGCATCTTGCTGGAAGCAGAAGTAGGGCTTTTGGGGTTTAGGGCTCTAGGGTTTCAGGTTCCAACTTGTCCCCATGGCATTGGCAGGTCCGGTCCGCAAGCCAGAAATCAATCCTGTGGCAAAGTGTACTGTTTATCTCAGAACCCCATTAACACATTTGACATCATCCTTCCCGTGCGAAGACAAAGGGCTGACTTCCAGCTCCACTGCGCCAAGCCTATTTGCTTCATGTTGCGGCCCCGGCCTACTCTGAATGAAATGCTGGGTGTGGGCGAGGCAGGGGAATGTGAAGTTGCAAACCCAAATCTGAGATAAACCCCAAACCCTTAACCCTAAACCCTTTAAGCCCTCAACCCTCAACTGCCTTGAATCGGCCGAGCTACCCATGCTCCTGGACACGGTCTCCAGCACTGCGCACAGGAGAAGCAATACAAGTGGAACCAAAGGCCCCGCCAGAGCAGTGTAAAAGCGCACATCTGCCCCGTAGGAGCACTCCTATGAGCCCCTCTGACCCAGGAACAAAAAGACTGCTTTGCATCATCCCCTTATGCATTACATCCTGAACCCTACGCCTAAGCCTAAACCAAAAACTAAAAACCTGACAAATGGCGGTTGTCGAAGATAGGGGGCCCTAAGATGGTACCCTAAATAATAGGAGTCTTACTATAAGAACCCCATATGGGGTTTCCGAAAATAGGGGACCCAAATATAGCACCCTAAATAGTAGGATCCTTATTATAAGGACCCCAAAATAAGGTACCCCTAATTTTCGGAAACTCCCATAAATTTGGGTCCCCTTATTTTCGGAACCTCCCAAATGACTCCTAGCGAAGACCGAGACGCCAGGGAAAAGGCATCTTGCAGGCCACTGGTTGTCAACTGCACCCACTGGACGTACTCCTGCTTGGGTCGAGGGGTTTACGCGTGGGGGTTTTGGGTTGATTTTTGAACTCTTATAGTAGCACTTATAATCGACCCTTTTAGAAAGCTGTGAGGCCCCTACACTATCTCCTTTCGGCACGTGAGTTCAGGGTTTAGGGTTGAAGGGCTTGGGGTGTACGGTGTAGGGGGCTTATATTAGGTTTGTACATGCAATACCTGCACCCTTTTTGCAACAGGCTTTCCACTTCGCCCGGAGTTGGAGCGTATTGCACCCTAAATTCTAAACTTTAGATTTAGACTCCAAAACCAGAAGCACAGCAAAGAGGCAGTTGAGGGTTTGGAGGTAGGGCTTTAAGCAAGACCGGACAAAGATCTGAAGCACAAGCGACCACGAAACGAGCATTAAGTGTGAGTTTCCGTAAATAGCGGGCTCCGAAGCAAAGCCTGAGCAGTAGGATCTTCAAAAAAGAGGACCCCTAATAATAAAACCTTGAAAACCAAAGGCCCCATGATTAAGCAAACCGATAGAACCGCAAAGCTTCAAAACATCAGCCAAATCAAATAGTCCTAAAACCCTACAACCCTGAAACCCAAACGTCTGCGCAACCCAGAATACTAAATTCTTACAGGATAGCTTGTTCAAGCAACCCTCAAAGAATCCCTACACCTCGAGGTGCCCCGAAATGCCTCCTCCCATGCCTCGCCATTTACTGAAAGAGCTGCCAGCACGCCCCAGAGCTGCACGAACCTGGTCTTGTAATGCTCCTTTAAAGGTTTCATTTCGGAGTTACTCTAACAGCCGTCCTACAAGAGTTTAGAGTATAGGATTTAGAGATTTAGGGTTTGGAATTTCGGGCATAGGGTTAAGGGCTAAGGGTCTCAGGGTCTCAATGTGGTTTTACTATCTAATCTAATCGTTCATGCTTCCAAATGTTTGTAATATGTGTGATGTACTTGTTGATGTTATTTTTACCGACCGGCGTACTGACTTACTTAGTCACTTGCGTGTTTGCTTTGCTTAGTCGCTGGCTGGCTGGTTGGCTGGCCGGCTGATTGGCTGACAGGCTGACAAGCTGACTGGCTGATTGGCTTGCTGGCTTGCTTGCTTAGACATGTGTCATATATATATATGTACACAAATACACCCATCCATCCATCCATCCATCCATCCATCCATCCATCCATCCGTACATACATACATCCATCCATACATCCGTACTTAAATCCATCCATCCATCCATCCATCCATCCATACATACATACATACATACATACATACGTACATACCTACATACGTACATACAGACATACATACATACGTAGATACATACGTAGATACATACGTACATACGTACATACGCACATACGTACATACGTACATACGTACATACATACATACATACATACATACATACATACATACATACGTACATACGTACATACGTACATACGTACATACATGCATACGTGCATACGTACATACATACATACATACATACATACATACATACATACACATACATACACACATATGTACATACGCATGTTTATGTATGTCATTCATGAAGCATTTATCTAATTCGCTGCCTACCGCCGCATTGTTCATTTATCTATGTGTCCGGTTGTCTGTTAACTGTCACCTATTCACTTGGCTCTTCTTCCTCCGCCGCAAAGAAGTTTGCGATGCGTTCCGGTGGCACAAGCCGGCATCTTAAGAGATACTTCAGCACCTGTTTCACACTCGACCTAGAAGATCTGTGGCTGTCTCCCGCCGGAAGCAGAAAAAAACATGATAGCAGTGGAATGACGAGTTCCGGAAACAAAACGAAAACAAACCGTAGAACAAATAAGAAGCTAACATGAAACAGCGGTCGCAGTCTGCCCGGCATGAGTTCCGCCCCATAAGCAGCAAACCGATACGGGGGTTTCCGAAAATAGGGGGGTTTAGGGTTTAGGGTTTTGGTTTAGGGTTTAGGGTTTAGGGACCCTAATATAGTACCCTAAATCGTAGGATCCTTATTATAAGGACCCCAGAATAAGGTACCCCTAATTTTCGGAAACTCCCATACCGCAAAACGAGCCTACAGGTCCTCAGAGCAAAAATTTAATAAAACAGTGTGGCCGCAACCTGGACACACGTCACATAGGTTTGCAACCGGGGTTCGAGCATGTGGCCGGACGCCACGCCCAGGAGTTTAGGGTCTGGGTTTAGGGTTTAGGGATCGGATGGCATTACGATTGTGGTCCAAAATAACGAGCGATAACTGAAATAGTCATCTGCTCCGCCAGGCTCCTCCTCCTGTGGAACACACGAGAGAAGGCTAAAACCCAGAGTGACAGGATTGGCGGCAGATTGGCATCGCAACGGAGCACGTCCAGTAGAACAAAGGCTGGACAGTGCGCGAATCTCCTTATGACTTTCTGTGTGCCGCCAGCCTGCCATGAGAATCCGGTCAAAAAGTCTTTGTGACTGACGGAGGACCAAGTCTCCTTCGTGACGTCGATGATTGGTCTGAATAACAGGTTTGTCACCTTTGACATGTTCCAAACCAACCTCCCTCCTCTTCTGCCTGCAGGGACAAATGCTTTTAATGTAGGGGCCTTAATAATTAGAATAGGGATTTGACGTATATTATATTATGGTTATAGTAAGGAACCCCCTAAACCCTAAACCCTAACCAAAACCCTATTCTCATTGTTAAGGCCCCTAATATTATGACAGATCGACCGGCTGCGAGGGATGGCAAGCAACGCCCTCCTTGGCGGAAGTCGCTTCAGGCAATGGCGGGCCCTAATATAGGAACCCTGGTCCTTTATTCGGGTTCTTAATATGAGCCCTCATATATTGGGGTTATAGGGCCAGGGTTTCTTAATCAGGTTCCTACATTAGCCTGGACGGAGGCTGACCGCGCAGGGAGGCCGATGGAAGCCACTTCCCCGCTCCCGGCATCCGGAACCTAAACCCTAAACCCTAAACCCCAAACCCTAAACCCTAAACCCTAAACCCTAAACCCTAAACCTTAACCGTGTTGGTCAGGTCCGACCTGATGCGCAGCAAGGGGCCCCTGCCCTCGATTGCGTTGATGCAATCCTGTCTGGCGTCCTTTAGCCTGTCTATACCCAGGGGCTCCAATGTACTTCCTTTTTGGGTCTGTTATAGCTTTTTGTGGTAAGGAATTATAGCATACTATCCAAAAGGAACTACATAGGAGCCCTTGGGTATCAGGAATGAGGGGCTCTCCAAGGTGGCTGCGGATGTTGCTGGCGGAGAAAAGCCTTGAAGTTGTGCCCCTCGCATGCAGGAACCCAAGAAAGGTGAAGGCCGAGCGCTATTTACTTACATATGTACATACTGACATGGTGCAGGTAATTACATATCTTAATTTGCATAAATATAGATGAACAGCTTGGTATATATATATATATATATAATGTGTATGTATTCATATACATCCACACGCATAGACATTGCGTGTGCGCGATTATGCATGTTTGCTGTGCATGTACTTCTTAACTTCGACAATTGTTCATTGCCTGCCTTTTCATGTTGTATTCATGTGCGTGTCTCCACTGAACTGGTATCAGTTGTTGCGGCGGGTGGGGTGGGTCAGGGTTTATAGGCGTCAGGCTGTTAAGTAGTTTTTGCTTTAGGACCGTTCCCTAAGTGAGCACAACAGGTATGCCAAATGCCATCTGGGAGCTACCTTACCCACAACCCCAAACCCCAAACCCCAAACCCCAAACCCTAAACCCTAAACCCTAAACCCCAAACACTTCAACCCATGCAAGCCTCTTGTCAACTCCAGGGCCCTCACAGAACTCGTACAGCAACCCTACTTGGAGGGTCGGGGGGACTTAGTACGTGGGGACTTAGTACGTGGGTAGTAAGTAGACTTATAATTTACAAGTACCCTACAAGGGATCCTTTTTAATGGGGATATGATACTTATATCCCTGAAAAAAATAACTACTTACTAAGTCCCGACCCTCCAAGTAAAGCAAGGAACAGCTAAAGGAAGCCTTCTTCGAGGAACCCTTGGCCTGAAAATCACCCCCGAACCGCCGAAACCCTGAAGCCCTGAAGCGCGAATATAGGATTTAGGGCTTAGGGTTCAGGGGCCTCCAACCCTGCACTAATATTTTGCTAAGTGTTTAGGGTTTAGGGTTTAGGGGCACTAATATAGGGTTTAGGGTTTAGGGGCCTCCTAACACTGAAGCATCTCTGAACCACTACAAAAAGGGGCGTCCCTACATTAAAAGCATCTGGGAACTGAAGCAGCACGGACATCTGGACCCGTACGAGAGGCCGAAGCGCCTGCTGAAAGCACGAGTTTGGGTTTAGGGTTTCGGGTTTAGGGTCGAAAAGGTTTGGTTCAGGGTTTGGGCTTTGGGGGTTAGGGTTTATATTGACGTCTTTAGGCACCCGATAAGCCCAAGAAGAGTTTATCGTTCCCATCAAAGCTTCGTTTGGGTCATTTGGTCCCTGACCTTTTTTGGCCTGCAATGCCTTTTGGGTTGTGGGGCAATTAGAAGCCCATCTAGGTCACTACCGCTATGAGACCAGGGCTTTTTCATCACACTGGCAACTGGACTTCCGCAGAGTCGTTGACGAAGCGCAGCGGGTGCTGCCCGTCAAAAAAGCAAGTGTGGCAGCGACATCCATTCAAGAACACAATCAGAATAGCACAAAGTACAGCGAAAGCAGCGACAGTCGGGAATGCCAGTGATCCGTGGGGCAACCACACGACGAGAACTGAGGTCATCAGAGGCAACACGCCGACGATATCAAAACAACCTTCACACAACAAGTAGCGCTACTGCGACTCGGCAGTCTCTTTACTGGGACTCGCCCGGACATTACAAAGACTACTAAGGATCGATCACTTGCTACAGCTTCCGCTGCTACTACCAACTACTGCCACCTCTGCTGCTAAGGCTGCTACTACTACTGCTACTGCCACCCATTGCTACTGCCACTGGTACTGCTAGTACTAGTACTAGTACTAGTACTAGTACTACTACTACTACTACTACTACTACTACTACTACTGCTACCTACTACTACTACTACTACCACCACCACCACCAACACTACCACCACAACTACCACGACAACAACTACTATCACTGCTGCTACTACTGCGAGGGCGACTTCTACTACTTCTGCTACTGCTACTCTGCTACTCCTACTGCTGCGGCTACGGCTAAGGCTACGGCCACTGCCCCTGCCAGTGCGACTGCGACTGCGACTCCTACTCCCACTCGTACCCCTGGTCCTGCTCCTACTTCGTACTACTCCTGCATACTATTACCTGCTACTGCCACAGCTACTGCTGCTACTACTGCTGCTGCTACTACTACTGCTGACACCGCTACTTCTTCTTCCACTTGCTGCCGTTTTCTAATGTAAAAGAAGCATGGTAAGCATGAATATTTTGAAAGCGTACTTAGGATAGCCGCGTGCTTGCGAAGCATGTACTTAGAAACAACTAAGGCTGGCACAGCTCATCGGCGAAATGGCAACAGTTCTTGTTGAACACGTTGTATGACTTGCCTCGCCATCTCCGGGTTATCTGCTCTATCACCATCTCCACTTCGAAAGGCGAGAGGTCCGTGTATCCCATGAACACTGATTCTCTATACGAGTGCAGCTGGCACTGTCGAGGTGGGTTTTGCATAATGCCAGAGCCGCACCGCGACCTTGGTTGGCCCCTCACCCATGCGAGCAATATTCGTGAACATGGAAATGTAGAGATGTATATCGAAAACTATATCTGTAGAATGATTTTGGCGCACCAATTGCAGCGCTCTTCCCTGCAGACATGTCATCTTCCAGCACAGCATTTCATCATTGCAGTCAAGGGGTGAGCTGAAGGACACCATGCAGTCAAATAAACAAAACATGCACCAGAAGCCAACCAAGCATCGCCCCGAAGCTCCACTCGGTTCCATGAACTTCCACGGCAGCGTGGAAGGCACCGGTCCCAAACGGGCGCATCACCTCGTTAAAGACCTTAAATGGTGCAGTGCCCGTCACATCGTAGATGTGCACAATAGCTGGAGAAGGCCCAGCAGGAGGGCAAATAGGGCAGCAAAGATTGCCCATCTTCTACGGATAATCAGGTAACGAAACTTCGCCGTTGCGGCCGATGGCTTTGGGCACGAACGGCTTGAGCAACATAGCTTCCGGATTTCGGACCTGGAGCACTTCAAAACCACAACCCATGAAGCATGGCTTCTCATGCAACTCTGCAGCTGGCAGCGGTTCCTCGGTATGCGAACTCACAAGTGGTGATGGTGACCATGGTCATGCTTCGTGGCTGGATACTACAGACTTGAGTCGGTTCCTGAACTTGTCAGTGATCCATATGCTACTATGCCAAATACTGAGCACCATGTCTATTATCACTGCCGCTTCTTCCTTCTCTTCTTACCACTAGTCGTATTGCGCAGGTATGGTGCATCTGACCAGTTTGATTTTCGTTATTCGTAACGCTCTTCAATCCTGGGTTGAACTACACCTGGTAATGGGTGATGTATGGGCTTTAATAATTAGAATTGGGTTTTGGGCTCCTATATAATATAAATAGAAAAAGGAACCCTGACTAATAATATTTGTGGTTGTTTAGGCTTTTGCGAAACAATCCAAAACGTCAACTCAAGGGTAATCATCTTAAGCATAAGGCCAAGAACAACTTTACCGAATCAATGTCGTAATGACAAGACTTACACAGCGGAAGCAAACATCTTCAACGCCGCCTTCGCAGTAGATCATCGCAAAGCGAACTACACCCCAAACCCTAAACCCTAAACCCAAAACACTACACCCTAAACCCAAAACCCTAAACCCAAAACTGTAAACCCTAAACCCCCCACAAAGCTAAACCTTGAATCCTGAAAGACCAAAGGCCCTGAAGCCCTGAACCTCTGCATGCCTGGCAAGTGGTGGCAGCGATTTCGGGTCCACTCGCCAATGCGATCGCCAACAGGGCAGATGGTGTTCTGTCCAAGAGGCCAGGGCTACAAAGATTTCAGAATTGAGGCTTTAGGGTCTACCCCGATTTATTCGAAGATTGCCTGACACATTCCAGGTAGTCTATACAAACTTGATTTCAATGTCAATATTTAAATGATTTGACCATCACCATCCATTGATGTTCCTTACCACGATTCTTCTTGAAGTTGTTCTTCGTGTTCCCTGTCAGGTCGTGGCTGCTGCTGGCTCTGGAACTAGAGGTGGTGCGGGCCTGGTGGCGAGAGCGGCGGCGTGGGCATGCTCTGGTGTGGCATGGTGGTGGCGGTAGCTATGGCGGTGCAGGGGGTGGCTGCGGTGGCGTTGTGGGCGGAGTCAGTTGTGTTGCTGTCGCTTTCTCTTACACGTGCTGCAACCTCGCAACTGGTGCTGGTGACAATTGCGCTGTTTCCTGTCCTTGTCGTCGTCGTTTGTCGTTGTTGCTGCTACTGTGGTTGTTGCGGTTGTTGTTGTTGTTGTTGTTGTTGCTGTTGCCGTTGCTGCTGCTGTTGCTGTTGGTGCTGTTGTTGTTGTTGTCGTTGTTGTTATTGCTGGTCTTCTTGTTGCTGCTGTTGTTGCAGCTACTGCTGCTGCTGCTGTTGCTGGCTTGTTGTAACTGCTCATTGTAACTGCTACTAATAGCGTGTGCTACTGCCTTTACTTGAGCGAAAACTAACATAGCAATGTGCCAGAAGCGAAAAGATAATTTCTGCGAGCGCAACAAGCAGATCAAATCTACTGTGGTGCATTCAGGAAGCCCTCCGTTTTGAAGATTTGGGGGGGCGCCGCCGCTATTGCTAGATTACCACTACCTGGTAGCTCACTATGTAATACTGATTTCACTATGTAAGCTGGTGTTGTTACTAGTGCTGCTACGACGACGACGGCTTACTACGACCCCTACCACCATCACCGCTGCTGATATTACTACCCGTTTCTTGTGTTCTCCACTGATTCTCCACTGTTCTCCATATTACGAAGCTCCTAAACCCTAAACCCAAAACCCAAAACCCTGAACCCTAAACCGTGCTGCTCGCATGTCGTAGGCGCCTTGTAGATGTCCATGTTGTGCGAGATGGGCGTGCCGGGCCTCGGGCTCACTCTGTCAGCCGTTTTGGGCTTGCTTCGCTGTAGTTATATCTGATGATCACAGTTTGTATCGTTTATAGATTGTACTATAACTATAAGATCGCTATAGTTATATCTGCAATTCGATATACGATGTTATACTCATATAATCTACGATACTTATGGCTTCTGAAGCGCACACATACACGCACACACCTACCTGCACGCCTCGAGCTCTCCATCTCCCTGCCTCTCAAATGGAACCAGGCCACGCACGTCTAAAGAAGTACTATAAGGTACCATAGTCTACTTCAGAATACGATAGAATACGACAGATATGCTGTAACTACGATCTACTATAATATTAAGGCAGAATAGACTCTCACATAGGCCCCAGCTTCCTAGCTGCAAGTTCTGAGCCCTGATGACAAACCATCCTGCACTCCACCCTAAACACTCCCGGAACAAAATCCAAAAAAAACAGACTTTAAGGCCTAGTAGGGCTCAGTATTGAAAGAACTGCCTTCGAGTCTGTAGCTGCGGCAGGCAGGGCTCTCGGTACGGACGGCTTGATGCTAGTCATGTATGTGTTGTTGTGGTTGTGCTGTCCTGCTGCACTGCGGATCACTGCGGTACTGCGCCCCCGTACTGACTCGACACCTTGGACAGACTCGGGAACATGAAGACAAGAAGAAGACCGTACACCCTCCGAATCTCAGCTCCGCCAATCCCGCCAAGGCCAAGGGCAGCTGGAAATACCAACCGTCCGATCCAGTCACCGCCACCTAAGGCCAGAGCTCCGACAGGAAAGCTGTTTCGTGGCTTATTTAGGCGTCGACAGCCGAGCTGCAAACAAGCTGAGAGAGAGGACTGAGCGTTCATGCCGTCTCCCTAGATGGGAAGACACACGTGCAAGGATGGACCAAGGTCAGCTTGCATGAGACGTTGACACCCCTAGAAGGACAGAGCCGCACCGCCCGGCTATCGTATGAAGAACCCGGCTCGCTTACTAGGACGGGTACATGCGCGATGTACGCTTTACACTGCTGACATCAGTACTCGGCTCTCAGATCTCTCAACTCTCTGCCGGCAGTCTGCGGCGCTGCGCTTTCACTTTCAAGATATCCCCGCACTGCCGGACCTGCTGGGGGTTTCCGAAAATAGGGGAC